AAAGCAGATATTGGTGCTAATCTTGGCTTTCCAAAGCCACCAGCCCCAGCAGAGGGAACCACAAGCTACAGATTGCTGATAACTCCAAACAGGTTATTTAGGGCCAGTCAGAAACAGTGTCTGACAATGTACTGCACTATAGATTGAGAAGTGTAGCAGATGTACCTAGTACATAGACACAAACCAAACAGGCAGCTAAAATTGAAGACAAAAAACAAGCCCCAAATTAAAGAACCAGAGAATTATCCTGAAGAAGAGCTAAATGAAATGAAGATAAGAAATTTATCAGATATAGAGTTCAGAATAATGATGGTAAAGATGCTCAACAACATGAGAAAAGATAAAGTAACTATGAAGAATGACATACCAGTAATAAACACAGTGGAAGGAATACACAGCATATTAGTGGAAGCAGAGGACTGAATCAGTGAATTAGAAGATAGGGTAGGAAAAAAAAGTCAATCAGAGAACCAAAAAGAAAAACAATTAAAAAAGGGGGGGGCAGCTTAAGAGACCTGTGGGACATGACATGTAACCATATTCACATGAGAAGAGTACCAGAAGGGGAAGAAAGTGAGCAAGGAATACGGGGTGTCCCAAAATTCACGCAAGATTTGAATTTTGCCTGAGCAGTAACAACAATAACAACAAAAAATAAAAGCCTAATTTTACTTGGTTTATTGAATCAGATTCTAATATCTGTTGCCCTTTGATTTCAATCCCTTCAATTTGATAAGCATTACCAAGTACCAATTATGCCCCAGGAGCAGGGACAATGAAGACCACGGCTTTGCATATGTGCCAGCAAAGCTGTAGAGGCCATTTTCCTGATGTGCTATTCCATACATAACCCTATACTGTATACTTTATGAATCAAAAAGAAGTTTACAATTTTTAATTATAAACCTGTGTTTTCTATCAAGAGTACTTCTTGCGTGAATTTTGGGACACCCTATAGATAACATCATTGAAGAAATGGTGGCAGAAAACTTCCATAACCTGGTGAAGGAAAAAGTCACACAAGTTCAGGAGACACAGAGAGTCCCAAGAAAGAATAACCCAAAATAGGCCCTTGCCAAGACACATCATAATTAAAATGCCAAAAATTAAAGACAAAGAATCCTAAAGCCAGCATGAGAAAAGAAAACTGTTACCTACAAAGGAGCTCCCATAAGGCTGACACCTGATTTTTCATCAGAATCTCTATAGGCAAGAAGTGAATGGCATGAAATAAGGTAATGGTAAGCAAGGATCTGAAACCAAGATTACTATCCCTAGCAATGCTATCATTTAAAATAGTGAAATAAAGAGCTTCCCAGACCAAAAAAAAAAAAAAATGGCTAAAGGACTACATCACCACCAAGACAGCATCATTACAAGAAATGCTAAAGGACTGCTGTAATGAGAAGAAGAAATATAGAAAGAAACATAGGCATACAGAATTAAAGATTAGGCAATAAATAAGTACCTATCAATAGTAACCTTAAGTATAAATTGATTAAATGCTCCAATTAAAAGATACAGAGTAGCTGAATGGATACAAAAACATGACCCAATTATATGCTGTCTACAAGAAACCCACCTCAGAACAAAAGGCTCACACAGGATCATATAAAAGGATGGAAAAAACTTTTCCATGCAAATGCAACAACAACAACAAAAAAAGCGGGGTTAGCATTACTCATATATGACAAAATAGACTTCAAAATGAAGGCCATCACAAGAGACAATTCAGGTCACTACATAATTCTGAATAGATTGATCGAGGAAGAGGATATAACTGGTAAACATGTATGCACCCAATACAGGAGCACCTAAGTATATTAAAAAAAAAAAAAAGTCTGGAGAACTTTAAGGGATAATTCAACAGCAATACGGTAATAGTAGGGGACTTTAATACATCGCTGACTTCACTGGATCTTCTGGACAAATAATTAAAAAGGAAACAGTGACTCTAAATGACACACTGGTTAGGATGGATTTAATTGTCATTTATAGAACATTTCACTCCAAAGCTGCAGAATATACATTCTTCTCAAGTGCACATGGATCACTGGATCATTCTCAAAGATAGATCACATCTTAGGACACAAAACAAGTCTCTATGAATTCTGGAAGATTGAAATCTTATCAAGTACCTTCTCAGATCATAATGGAATGAAATTAGAAATCAACTACAGTAAAACCATTCTAGCACATGGAGCTAGATAGCATATTATTAAACAATGAATGGGTTACTAATGAGATCAAGAAAGAAAAACTTCCTGGAGTCCTAACTGGTTTGGCTCAGTGGATAGAGCGTTGGCCTGTGAACTGAAGGGTCCCAGGTTCGATTCCGGTCAAGGGCATATACGTTGGTTATGGGCACATCCCCAGTAGGGAGTGTGCAGGAGGCAGCTGGATTGATGTTTCTCTCTCATCAGTGCTTCTAACTCTCTATCCCTCTCCCTTCCTCTCTGTAAAAAGTCAATAAAATATATTTAAAAAACAAAACAAAAAAAACTTCCTGGAAACAAATGAAAATTAATGCACAACTACTCAAAATCTCTGGGACATAGTAAAAGCAATCCTGAGAGGGAAGTTCATAGCACTACAGGTCTACCTCAAACAAGAAATATTAATAATAAAATATTTAACCTACAACTTAAAGGATTAGAAAGAGAACAAAAAGAGAAGCCTTCAGTAAATAGGAGGAAGGAAATAATAAAGATTAGAGCAGACAAAGACTAAAAAAATGACAGAGACTAAAAAAAGAACATACAAAAGATCCATGAAACCAAGAGCTGGTTCTTTGAAAAGATAAGATTGATTAGCCTTTAGCCAGACTCATCAAGAAACAAAGTGAGAGGACCCAAATAATTAAAATCAGCAACGAAAGCTGTGAAGGAACAACTGACATAACAGAAATACAACAGATTGTAAGAAAATGCTAGAAGCATATATATGCCAACAAGGTGGACAATGGGGATGAAACGGACAAATTCCTAGAAAAATACAATCTTCCAAAACTGAATCAGGAAGAATCAGAAAACCTGAACAAGCCAATAACAACTGAGGAAATTGAGGCCGTAAAAAAAAAAAAAAAAGTTCTAGCTAACAAAAGCCCTGGTGTGACTGTCTTCAAGGGGAAGTTTTACCAGACATTCAAAGAAATACTTAATACCTATCCTCATCAAACTATTCCAAAAAATCCAAGAGGGAGGAATACTTCCAAGCTCCTTTTATGAGGCCAACATTATCCTAATTCCAATACCAGATAAAGATATGGGAAGTTTGAAGACAGAGGAGAAGGAGTGAAATAAATATCTGTGAAACTTGGTGAATCCTACTGGCCTAACATCAATGGTCCACTTGAAACAAATAGTTTTGAATTTAAAATGAGACCACAAAATAGGTATTTTTATATAGGCATTTCAGCTAAATAGAGCATAAGCAAAGCAACTGGTTGGGATTTTTCCAGGGAAATAGGACGGTGAAAGAGCTGTAAGAGAATGCTAAGGAATCTAAGCCAGGTAAAGGTGAAGTGAATACGTGACGGGCTGAGAGAGTGTGAAAATATGTAAGAGTCACTGTGGTTGAATAGCTCTTGTAGACAAAATGCTAGAAGGAATGAACTGAAAATGAAAAATAATTTAAATCTGAGATTATAAATGAAGTGCAGTTATAGTCTGTGGATGTTTGGGAAGGATGGATGACAGTACATATCAAAGAACTAAGAGGTCAAGTTATTAGAAGTACCATTGTTTGGATGTTGAAATCCCAAAGAAAATAAGAGGAGTAGTAATAGAGGCATAGTAAATTAGATGCTATAATCTAGGAGTGGGGAGTAGAGATCTGGAAGTCAACTGATACCAGCAAGGAAGGGTAGAGCTTATATAATAGCCTGATGGCATGAACTTCAAAGAAACTAAGTAGTTTTAGGGAGAGTAGAGGATAATAGTTTGGCAGTAGTAATGGAGAACAGGAAAAAGTGCCTCACCTCAAACTGAGTGGCTTGAGGATGAGAAAGCAGTATCTTCGAGGATTTCAGTTCTAACTGAAAATAAGATGAAGGAGAAGTTCACTGAAGAGGTTGAATATGGAGCCTATTTTGCCGAAGATGGACTGGGAGTTCCTGGGATCACAATGGATGTATATAAACGAATTGGGGGGTGGGTAACATATGAAATTAGGGGACTTTCTAAGACTAATAAGGGTGAGTCTTCATAAGTCGGAATGACCTGGGGGCCTTAGGCTTCTATGGAATGGGGTTAATGGGGTTAATGCTGACAGTGAGATGACACTATGATTTGGGAGAGAAACGGGATTCACCTAACTGCCACCTCAGCTTTCATTTTCTGTGTTGGTAGAGGTAGGAACTCTGTCTCTATCTTTCCAAGGAGAAAAATATCTACCCCTTCATCTTATCAGTTAATCCTAGATATAGAAGAAATTAAAATATGATTTTGAAGCGTCATAGAGCTTACTCTGGCCAGAAGAGCACTGGACAGGATTGCTATATTTTCTGCATCCTATACCTATGGCAGATATTGCTAATCCGACTTGGCACTATTTCTCCCTGATGCTGGCTATAGTTTTAGAATCCATTTCATCACAGTACTGGAAATACCATCTACTAATCCATAGTAATTAATTATTCACTGAGTATGTTAATTACTGTGCTGAGCATGTTTTATAGATATTACTTTAATTATTACGACAGCCCTGTGAGGTTTTACAGATGAAGACACCAATGACCAAAAATGTTAAGAAACTTGCTCAAGATTGTAACAGCTGAAAAGCAGGAGAACCAAGATTCAAATACTGTTCTGCTTTCTTCCAAAAATCTCTCACTTAACCATTGTAATTTAATTATTGGAACTAATGATGAAATATCATTGCCATCCCTATGAGGTATTTGCAATTAATTTATTTTCAGGATCACCAGGATATACTAAAAAACAACAACAACAACAACAACAAAGAAAAATGAAAGATTATCAATGTTGATTATTTTGTAGGGATAAAGAGGTAACCCCTAAGTGGGAAAGAATTACAGAAGAATGTCAGTCAACCAAGAAAGGAAGAGTCAAGGAGTTCCTGAAGATGGTAATGAAGCAATCTTAAATAAATAATTAAAAGATAAGCAGCAACAAGAAAGCACATAATAGGATAATTGTGTTAAATTTTATAGAAAATTAGGATACTGGGAAGCTGTTAAGTTTCTCCAGGAAGAAACTTATTTAGTGTTTAGAAAAGGTATAACAACCTGAAAATGCAGGCCTATAATGAATATTCATCAACTATAATTGCTATATTGTTGCTCTGGTGGCAGTATAATTATAGTATGAATGCCAGTGGTCTGGATAAAAACAATTGGGACAATCAAAATATTTATACTGTTCTATAAAGAAACGGGTACAACATTGCAGTAGGCTATTTTGAATTGTCTCTTATGATGGCCTTTGATTTTGGTTTTGTTTATAGTCAGAAAGGGAAAATTGCAAACCTAAATTTTCTTAAGAAAAAACATTACATTTGTAATGACTTTGAGTAAAGAAATATGACTTGTTTGCATTTAAATTTTTATGATATATATTATTCCTTTGTCTAGCTCTGGCTAACCAAGACACATCTTCATTAACCGATGTTGTAGAGCAAGTTGCAAAGCAACAACAATCACAAACATCAGAAATAGAAAAAAACAAAAAAGTTCTGTTTCATTTACAGGTAACTGTTTCATACTGTCTTCTAAATGAGTCTTTATTTTCTTTAAAACTATATTAAATTAGTAACAAGTAAGTTATTGAGGATACTTAATTTTGTTAGTTGATTTAAAACGTATTTTTTTATATTTACCTCTTTCTTAATTATTCTGTTATCCCTAAGTGAAATCTACTTGAGTATTCCAATTTTGTGGAAGATTTTATACATTCAATATACAAATATTCAACAGTGTAATTGCAACTGTAGTATGAGCATATGAAACCCAATGTCTCACATAGAATTATTTCAAATTCACTACTATTTGATATTTTTTCCTAAAATGCTGAATTTAAGGAAGGTTAAGTTTTAAGCTAGTGTTTTGAAAGCTATGACTTGTGAGTTGCTAGTTGTCAGTGAACATTTTAAGTAGATAAGGAACATTTCTGTTTCTTATGTTTCATAATATATTTATAATTCCACAGGGAATCCCAAAGGCATGTTTGGTTTTTGCTTATAGCATAATTAGGTGACAATATCCAGTTAATATAGCTAAAAAAGCAAAATGGAAACAGTACCTTTACTATGTGCTTTGTAAAGTTTTAAGAGCTGAACTGCCTAGTTTGAAAGATAAGCTTTGCTACTTCCAGGTCTGTGATTTAATTTCTCTGTGCTTCTATTTTCTCCTTTTTAAAATGGATATAATAATGGGACCTGCCTCTAGGGTTTTCATGATGATTAAATTAATTAATATTTGTAAATATTATGTAAGATATCCTTGCTCAGGCCCCTGTGGACAGTATAGTTTCAATTTTGATATTGGCTTTAGATATTAATGCACCAGCAAAGATATGATGATAATGAAACTATCATGGTAATATGTATTTCTTATAAATATTTGCATTACATTAGTCACTATTAGACAGAATACATGTTTACAATAGAATATAATACAAAAAATAATGTCTTTGATTTCTATAAAGAAATTTTCTGTAACACTTCCCAGTCTTCAAAGAATGTCACAGATACTATTTCACTTATATTGAGGGCCTACTTTTCATTAAGCATTTTGCTGAAGAGGGTCCATTTTTTAAGTTGCTCATTATCTTTTGAAGAGGGAGACAAAGAATTAAACAAATAATTACATGCAGGGCAGCAGTGTCAACAATAGAGGCATGAATATAGATTTAACACTGAAGGAGTTAGAAAGATATGTTCAGTTGAGTTTTGAAGGATAGTTAGAGTTCACTTCAATGATTGGGTGTGTGAGACAGGTTTAAGAGTTAAGGGGTGAGAAGGGTAGTATTCCAGATAAAAAGAACCTGAGAAAATTCACAGAGGCCTAAAAAAGCATTAGTACGTTGACAGAATTATAAGTAGTTCGGTGATGGTATAGCATAGAGTGTGTTTTAAGAAGTGGTGAGAGATGTATGTCATGGTATGAAACTTGGACTTAACTTGAAAGGTTTTGATGGGCTTTAAGCAAGGGAGCAAGTAATTAAATTTATATTTTAGAAGGAAAATTCTAGAAACGTCATAAAACACTTTTAACACAACAGCCATGCATGATAAAAACTCTCAGCAAATTAGGAATAGAAGTTCCTCACTCTAAAAAAGGGCATCTAAGCCCGACCAGTGTTGCTCAGTGGTTGAGTATTGACCCATGAACTAGGAGCTCATAGTTCAATTTCCAGTCAGCACACATGCCCAGGTTGTGGGCTCAATTCCCAGTAGGGAGCATGCAGGAGGCAGCTGGTCAATGATTCTCTCTCATCATAGATGTTTCTATCTCTCTCTTTCACTCTCTTCCTCTCTGAAATCAATAAAAACGTATTTAAAAAGTTGTACCTGGGTTGCGGGCACATCCCCAGTAGGAGATGTGCAGGAGGCAGCTGTTTGATGTTTCTCTCTCATCGATGTTTCTAACTCTCTATTTCTCTCCCTTCCTCTCTGTAAAAATTCAATAAAATATATTTAAAAAAAAAAAGAAAAGAAAAAAAAAGTAATAAAAAAGAGCATCTACATAAATCCTACAGCCAATTTTATACCTAACTAGAGGCCCGGTGCATGACATTTGTGCATTGGGGTGGTGGGTCCCTCAGCCTTGCCTGTGCCCTCTCGCAGTCCAGGACCCTTGAGGGATGTCTGACTGCCAGCTTAGGCCCGCACCTGCCACCACTGCTGCACTCACCAGCTGTGAGCCCGGCTTCTGGCTAAGTGGCGCTCCCCCTGTGGGAGCGCACTGACCACCAGGGAGCAACCCCCACGTTGAGTGTCTGCCCCCTAGTGGTCAGTGCACATCATAGCGGCAGGTTGTTCCACCGTTCGGTTGATTTGCATATTATGGTTCTATTATGTAGGATAGTGAAAGACAATGTTTTCCTTCTAAGATCAGGAACAAGGCAAGGATATGTGCTCTTGCCACTTTTCATTCTTTGGTACTAGTGCATTGAGCCACTGTAATCTTGGAAGAAAAATAAAAAGCATCCACATTGAAAAGGAAGGAGTAAAACTTATAAGCATAATTATATTTAGAAAATCCCAAGGGATCTATTTTTTAAGAAGTTGTTAGGACTAATAAGTGAGTTTATTTTTTTATTATTATTTTTAAATATATATTTTTATTGATTTCAGAGAGGAAGAAAGAGGGAGAGAGAGAAACATCAGTGATGAGAGGGAATCATTGATCAGCTGCCTCCTGCATGCCCCAAACTGGGAATCAACATGGGCATGTGCCCTAACTGGGAATCAAATCATGACCTCCTGGTACATAGGTCAGCACTCAACCATTGAGCCACACTGGCCGGGCAATAAGTGAGTTTAGAAAGCTCATAAGATTAACCATGAAGTCAGTTGTATTTCTATATATTGAAAGAAACAATCAGAAGTTAAAATTTAAAAAGCAGTGTCATTTACAGTAGCATCAAACCTATGAAATACTTAGGGGTAAATTTGACAAAGGTTTGTGTTATGAACCGAATGTTTATTTCCCCCCAAAACTCACATGTTGAATCCCTAATCCCCAATGTGATTAATTTTGGAGATGGGGCCTTTGGAAGGTAATTAGGTTTAGGGGAGATCATAAAGGTATGGGGCCCTACTGATAGGATCAATGCCCTTTACAAGGAGAAACACCAGAGTGCTTGTTCTCTCTCCCCGCTCTGCCAAATGAGGACCCAGTGAGAAGGTAAGGCAGGCAGAGTTCTCACTAGTATTGGGCCATACTGATGTCCTTTCCAGCCTCCAGAACTGTAAGAAATAAATTTCTGTTGTTTAAACCACTAAGTCTATTGTATTTTGTTGTGGCAGACTTAAGACCATTTATACGAGCTCTATACTGAAAACTGCAAAACATTGCTGAGAAAAATTAAAGATTAAAATAAATACTAAATGCAGAGATATACCATTTTCACAAATCAGAAAATTCAGTATTGTTAACATGTCAGTTCTTTCAATTTTATCTACAGTTGAAAATCAATTTCGATAAAAATTCCAGCAGGCTTTTTTTTTTTTGAGAAATGGATGAGCTGATTCTAAGTCATATGGAAATCCAAAGAACCAGTAATAGCCAAAACATCTTTGAAGAACAACAATGTTGGACATTCTTACATTATCTAATTTTAAAATTTATTATTGAGTGCAATAATCAGGACAGTGTGATATGGCATAGATAGACATACAGTTCTATAGAACAAATTAGTGTCTAGAAATGCCCCACATATATAAATTGATTTCAAAGAGGTTCTGTTATGGAGTGAATGTTTGTGTCCCCGATGGTATGTGGAAGTGGAGCATTTGGGAGATAATTAGGTTTATATGAGGTTATGAGGGTGAAGCCCCTGTGATGGGACTATAAGAAGAGAAAGAGACCCTAGAGCTGTCTCTCTCTCTCTCTCTCTCTCTCTCTCTCTCTCTCTCTCTCTTTCTCTCTCTACCCCATTTGAGGACACAGCTAGAAGGTGGTTGTCTACAAGGCAGGAACAGGGCTCTCACCAGGGGCTGAATCCTCTGCACCTTGATCTTGGACTTTCTAGCCTCCAGATCAATGAGAATTTAGTGTTTATGTTTAAGCACCCAGTTTATGGTATTTTGTTATGGCAGTTCATTAGAGCTAACACAGGTGCCATGGCAGTTCATTAGAGAAACAAATAGTGGAGGACAGCCATATGCAAAAAAAAAGTGAATCTCAACTTTCACCTCATACCACATACAAAAAGTAACTAAAAATGTATTATGGGCCTAAATGTAAGAATTAAAACTACACAGTGTCAGAGAAAACATAGGAAAAAAAGCCTAGTGATGTTGGATTTGGCAAAGATATTTTAAATAGGACACAATTATTTTTTTACATTGGATGTCATCAATTTTTTTTAACCTCACCTGAGGATATGTTTTTATTGATTTTTAGAGAGGAAGGAAGGGAGAGAGAAACATTGATGTGGGAGAAACATTGATCAATTGCCTTCCATACCTGTTCTGACCAGGGAATAAACCCGCATCCATCCTGTGTATGTACCCTGACTAGGAATTGGAGCCGCAACCTCTTGGTGTACGTACAGGATGATGCTCCTACCAACTGAGCCACCCAGCCAGGGCTTATCAAATATACTTTTTAAAGTTTTTGTTCAAAAGAAACTAATGAAAATGAATGTTAGATATATTTTCTGGTACCCTCTTGGAATTTGCATTGTCATAGACTGGGAGAAAATATTTAACAACATATTTGGCAGTGTATGTGTATTTACAATATATAAAGAACTTCCATTATTTAAGAAGGCAAACAATTTAAAAATGGGCTAAAGATTTCAATAGTTATTATTGAAATCTAAGAAGTTATTATAAAAGACAAGCACATGAAAAGATACTCAATATCAATAATTGTTAAGAAAATGCGAATTGAAATTACAATGAGATAGCACTCAATACACACTAGAATGACTACATTTAAAAAGACTGACCATACCAAGTGTTGGTGTAGATATGCAAGAACAGAACTCTCAAACCCTGTTATTTGGAATGTAAAAACA